ATACATGTTCAGTATGTATTTTAAAGCAGAATCTGATGTGAAGCTATTTCTTTTGTCAGAAAATTTTGTGAATGGAAAAATGCACAATAAGGCTATTTAGGAGAATTCTCTTTTTTTTGTCTTAATATTTTATAATATATAAATGCTTGTGGTATATAAATGCTTGTAAAATAAAAAAATCTTTATTTCAGGATTGAGAAATTTTACTTTTCTGAAATCGTGGGTTATCTCATTAAAAGTGCCCAGTTTCCTGATGACTAGATGATAAGTGGTTTAAATGAGACATTCCAGACCTGGGGTGTTGTTGACAATATTTAGGAAGGGGAGCCAGATCTCAATGTTTATATTTGGCATTTGAATATACTGTATCTAAAAGAGTCAAAGCCAATCTGCCATTTTGTTTTATTTTTTAAAAGTATTGCCAGCTGCCTTTTTAATTAAAAAGGGACTAGATGTTGGAAATGCTATTAATCACTAAGACTATTTTGTGATGGGTGGAATGAACCTTCAGTTTTTTTTTACTGAGTGAATAGTTGGGGGTAAATCATTCAATAGGACATCCACTTACACAGGTTGAAAAATAGCATTTTATTGCCCTAAGGAAATCAGTAACGTTTTCTGCTTAAATTATATCAGCAATTCCTACCTTTTCCTTAGTTCTCACCTTATCTTCTATTAGCCATTGCAACTAAAAAAAAATACAACTCAACTCTGTTCTTGAATCAATCATCTTTATTTTTCCAAACACCAGCTCCTCAACGTTAATTTTCCTTCTATACTACTTTTTGATAGCTGTATACAGCTCTGTATATATGAACACACAGTCACTTCTCTGACATTTATTTTATTATCAAGGCTTTCATTTAACAACTGTTTGCATTTATTCTGTGTATCGTTATTTGTTCCATTATAAAACTGGTGTTCCATTCAGCTATTTCTACACTATATTTATTTGCTTATTTCTGCATTGACCCAAATGTCTCAAAAAATCCTTTGTCATTGTTTGTTTATTTTTTTTTATGTTTTAAGTCCTCCTTTGAATGCTTCCTATGAATGTAAGGCAGTTAGGTTTGTAGCTGGTGTCCCTGCATTGAGATATCCCATGTTGTTAAAGATAGTCTCTTGTTACTAAAAAAGAGGAGTTTGTTTTTTCTAGTAAATTAAATTTATGAATTATTATTCTCATCTTAAAATGTAGATTGATGATATAAATAACATTTCATGTTTTATAAAATTAATTAAACAAAAATTACATTGGATAGTATACAGAAAATAAAATGTTGACATTTTATCATCTTTAAAACAAACAAATGATACATAATACATATGTTATAAATGTATATATAATTATATATAATTGTATAAAAATAATGAAATAGTTTTAGGCCATTTAAAATATTTTTATTTCTACACAATGAAGTGCTTGGGAATTTGAAAGCTAGGAGGCCTGGATTCTAAAAAATACATATATTTACTTCATAGCAATGGTATTAATTAATAGGACAGAAAAATATATGCGTCAACACTGCTAACTTCGGATGTTGGAAATGTAGATGGAAATGCAGCCATTTTTCTCTATTACTTTTAGAGTTAGTTGATGCTGGGAGGGGGAATGTGGATGAGAGTTCAGCTAGTCATAACAATAATAACTCAGCTGTGGGAACCCAAGGTTATTGGGCCCAGAGTTGAAAGAGTTTTGGTGGGCTGGAGAGGTGGGGAGAAAGCCTGTACTGCAAGCTAACTGGGGAATGTGATTTATGACTGTTTATTGGAGGAGGGAATTGTGCTTTGTTACTTTGTATCCAGGGGAGGGGAATTTAGTTTTTGGTTCCGAATAGGTAGTGTCGTTACTTTGTTTCTCGAATAAAAGATTCTTTAAAGTAAACAATGCCTCGAACTTCTTTTGAAGAGTTTCATCTGTCAGAATCATGACAATATGAACATAAAAGACAATATGGAACAACCTGCCTCCAGAAGCAGTGAATGCTCCAACACTGAAAGTTTTTAAGAAGAGACTGGGTAGCCATTTGTCTGAAATGGTATTGGGTTTCCTGCCTGAACAGGGGGTCAGACTAGATGACCTCCAAGGTCCCTTCCAACTTTATTATCATCATCATTATTATTATTATTATTACTACTACTACTATTACTATTATTATTATTAAAATTAACCTTATACTGTATTTTTTAAAATTAATTCTTATAGCAATTTCCTCTGTACTGCTATTCTAAAATAATAGGAAAAGGTTCTAAAATTCAAGAATCCATTTTAGAAACTAAGGGGAAGTACAGCTAGTCCTCCACTTATAATAGTTCATTTAGTGATCATTCAACGTTTTCATCAGCACTGAAAAAAGTGACTTGTGACAGTTTTTCACACTTAGGACGACTACAGCATCCCCATGGTCATGTGATCAAAATCCAGGTACTTGGAAAGTGACTCACATTTACAACAGTTGCAGTGTCCCAGGGTCATAGGATCACCTTTTGCAACTTCTGACAAGCAAAGTCAATAGGAAAATCAGATTCACTTAATGCCCATGTTACTAACTTAACAACTGCAGTGATTCACTTAATAACTGTGGCAAGAAAGGTTGTAAACTGGGGCAAATCTCACTTAATAAATATCTCTCTTAGCAACAGAAATTTGGGGCTCAATTATGGTCATAAGCCGAGGACTATCTATAATTGCAATTGTAAGATACCTTATTATTTATTGTTTAAATTAATCGTCTTTATGAATCATGCTAGGAACAAAAAGCAGTTCTGTTCATATGTGTATAGCAGTGATTGCGAACCTTTTAGAGACCGAGTACCCAAAAACTGGCCCCACCCCTGCTCCACTCCCCTGCCCCGCCCCTACCCTCCCTGCCCACAGGACCACTCACTGCCTCCAGGGCCAGCTGCAGATCGCCCAGGTAGCCCAGCAGTGCTATGGCAGCCACACCCTCTGCCCACGCCCTGCAACATCAACTGCATGATGGGGTGTGAGGGCAGAGTCTTGTCTATGCTGCCTGGCTGCCATGTCCTTGGCTGTGCTGCTCTGTGTGGGCCAAGCTCGAGGGCGACTCTCCTTCAGGGGGGCTGCTGGAGAGGAGGGGGCTGTGGGGGGAGGCAAGGCTGGGGCAACAGCACATGTGCCCGAGAGAGGGCTCCAAGTACCGCCTCTGGCACCTGTGCCATAAGTTCGCCACCACTGGTGTATAGCAATGAAAATCTGATAGACAATGTTCTGCACATCCAATTATTGGGAGGAGAGAGAAAAGGTATACATGAGACACAGCATAGTGGACCAATTAAAGTTATATAAAAATAAAAGCAGAAGTTGCATTTCCTCTGAGAACAGAATACTGGGCTTCATTATTTCATAGGCAATGTACTCCTGTGTGAAGATTTATTTTATGTGTTTTTATTAAACAGGCAATGCCAAAGTTATACCCTTCATCTTTTGCAATTAATTAAATCCTTTATAATAAAAATATTTCAAATACTTACTGTAGAACTTCATTGGTTCTCCCATCCTGTTTTGTACATACTTCCACTGCTGTTTTGATTTTCTAATCAGAAACACTAGGAATACAAAGTTGTATATGACAATTTCTCTAAGAGATCTAAGATATAAAGTTATGCAACAATGTTTCAATGTGATTAGGGATATAATCATTGAAAATGCCTGGGCAAACTGCTCATAGTAGACCAGTTGGATGGAAGATAGAGAAAGAATATGGCTCTGAACACAAATGCATAATATTACATTTAGGAGCCATACAGCCAATCTTCTCAATTCATTTATTTTGACAACCACATAATGGGAAAATACTGAAGATCTGGCTGTCAAGCACCTGCGAGTGTCTACACTGTGAAGTGATAAAAATCTGCACAGTGGCATACAAAAACCCGCCCTCTCTACAATCCTTGAATAAAGAATTCTTTTTCCAATTTACTTTTTTCTATGACTGTCTTTATAACCAAAAGCTCAAAGCTACAAATTCTATTTTCCTGTGGGCTGGCATATTATAAAATTCCATAGAATTCAGCTATAAGCACATACAATATCTAGAAATGTTTTCATGGATTTCTTTTTGAAAGAAAAACAATAATTATATTAATTATTGTATGCATATGTAATCTAGCTTCCTCTCTCCTTCTGAAAAGCTGGCACACTGCTTTTTATAAACACTGTATTACCAATCACTAAATAAAAAATGAGAGATGTATGGCCAACACCCATTTCTGTAAATACATCAGTTCATGAATAAAGGCGTTCTTAAATTTATTTCTGAAAGAGCTCGATTTGGAATAAACAGGGTTTTTGATAAAGTGATAAAGATGTAAGTCTGCCATACCAGTAACAGCAGAGATGAGAAGAGATGATGACATCATGATTAAATTGTAAAAAAACAAAACAGAAGGCTTTGAAAAAAGAGTTTATATCTCAATAAAAGAACATCTGCAAGATGTCTGGTATAAGAACAGCATTCTAGGATCTTGTAATATTAGCAAAAGCTTGGATAAACTCAAGGATTTAAGAACTTGTGATGTGGACTAGCAAGATCCTTGTTATGGATATAACAGTGATATGATAGGTGAGACAATCTCTTATAGAAGAGATGAATTAAAAGTTCTCAGTCATGTGCTGTCACAGAGGGATAGTATAAAATGCTGAACTAATTGAATTATTGACTTTTCCATCTGATTAGCTAAATTAGTATTTTGTTTATGAAATCTTTTTCTGCATTCAGTAGCTGTTAAGACATTGATCAATCCTAGTTAAATTCTGAGATTGCAGAATTAATTTCAAACTTTATATAAACAGTTTTCTTTCATTATTTCACTAACATTTCATAACAAAATATTTGTACTGCTTTGACAGAAATGAGTGGGCCATTTTCCATATCATTTCTATGCATTTCAATATATCAGGTTTATGCAATAAGTCTCTCATGTCTGAATATGTTCAATTAGTTTTCTTATTTTAAAATTAAATTTATATTTTGCAGTTTATTCAGGAAGCTCAAAGGAGTTTACATGGAGAATCTGATTTCCAGAAGTCCCTCAACACATGGTAATGTCAACAGGCCTGGAGGTCCCAGGGAACCAGAGACATGTTTAGATAACTTCACTACTGAGGTGAGTATATGACATACTCTCTTTGCCTGGGGTTTCTATATTTTAAAATGTTAGTTGACCTCTAATATTTTAATTTTGACTTTTTATATTTTTAATACTTGTTTTTATAAGTATTTTTTATTTAATTATTGTATGATATCCAGAGTCACTTCTGGTGAGATGGATGGCTATATAAATTTGATTGTGGCCTGGTAGCGCAGTAGTTAGAATGCAGTATTGGAGGCAAACTTTGCCCACATCCTGGAGTTCGATCCTAAAAGAGCTCATGGTTGACTCAGCCTTCCATCCTTCCAAGGTTGGTAACTGAGGACCCAAATTGTTGGGAGCAATATGCAAGTAATCCTTCTACATTGTACATCGCCGAGAACTGAGAACTAATCAAATGTGTAAAACATTGCATTATGTGGCTCATACGCTTAGCATACAAAAGGAGTACTAAATTAGTGATTTGCTAAACAATAAAAATAATTTTCATATGGTACTGTTAACTAAAAATTAATCCAAATATGCAAGGCAGTTCATAATGTGATTTATGCAGCCAGCTAGCAAATTAATTAATTCTGTTGAAATTATTGTTATTGTACTGCACTGTACAGTGCAGTCATGACATGATATTTGTATCACAAGAGATACAAATATACTTACTTTGTCACAACATATGGATTTAAATAATATTTATCACATGGTTATTGATGATGATAAGATCAAAAGACCTTATTATAGTGAAATATGAACAATCTATAGGATTATTTTAGTAAATGAAATTTTCCTAAAAAAGCGAAAGCCAGCAGTTACACTTTTGAAATTGCAATGCAATAATTATGATTTTCATTAAAAGGATGCCATATTTTTAAGGAAAACTATACGGATATTTTATTTTATTTCGAAACATAGATCTATTAGGTTAGATTCTTCAGAGGAAAACATAAATAAAGCTAAAAACTGAACTGATCCAGAACTAAGTAACAAAACAAAAAGGGCCTCTGAGAAATTCAAGATATCTTAAATGATATCTACCAGCAATAAGCAAGGCACTTTTTTAAGAAATTGGAACACATAAATTTCTTGTGAAACTCTAAAAACAAAGTCAAAGATTTAATAGAGAATAATTCAGAATTGATTGATTTAAACTGCTATTTCATTACTAACAGAACATTATCAAATCTGACAGATGAATTTTTTTATGCTTGCTCTCAGTGCAAGAAGTACAAAAATGATTCCACAGATAGCAGTAACCATTGCAAACAAACAAACCCCCCCCTCAAAAAAAACCCAAGACAATGTAAAATTGGAATGTTTGATATGCAAAGGTGAACATTAGCCAAAAAAATCAAAATGAATAGAAAAATAGGGTTCATTCTATTTTGGGGAAATATCCATAAAATGCTAATGTCACAGATTTATAAAACAGATTGCACAATTCCTATTGAGAAATTTTCATTGAAGTAAATTGTATTTTAGGTAAAATAAATTATATTTTAGTGTACCAATAAGAGGCTTTGGAATTATAATGAAATGTATTTGTTATGAATGCTGTCTTTTTAAGAGCTCTCTTTTACAGCTGCACAAGGCAATATAAACTTATCCCCAACCCTTCCTTGAATATTTTGTCTCCATTCAGGTAGTTGAGGTTTACGCTTTAATTTTATTTAGTCGTTTTATTGTGTTTAATTTATGCAGAGTTTAAGTTTCAAGGGAAAGTTGCCATATAACCACCAGACATTGTTTTACATAGGCTTATCCATCCAGTTAAATCAAACGTTGAAAGTTCATTGAAAGTAACTCAACAGTAAACAATGACATTCTATTGCAGATGAATAGTTTGATGCTTATCAAAATGAAACTCCAAGGGCAGATGCAATTTTTTGGGACTGTGAAAGAATTTCTTAAATCCTATTTCTTATATATAAAATACTGCAATAAGGTTTTAAAATATACAGCACAGTCACCAACTCAAACAATAAAAGTTTAACAAAATTATTTAGAAAGATAGTAAATAGAGGATGTACCAATATGCTTGTTAAAAGGCAACTGGAGTTTTTTGGGTTTTTTTTTTTTTTTTGAAAACATTTCATTTCTTCAGAACTGAAGAAGTTTCTTGGATGAGAAGTGAAACATTTTCAAGAAAATCCAAGAAAGTCCAATTACCTTTTGAAAAGCATCTTTGGGACAACCATGACCTGGATGATTGAGAATCTCCATAGATATTTACCAGTATGATATAAATATGGACTCTGGAAGAAAGAAGAGAAAAGAATTTTTTTTCCAGGTTGTTTGCACATATACCAGCAATCACAGGTGAGAAATAAAAATTACAATAATTTTTTTATTAATACTGAAGGTTCATTTATAAAAAGAACTCAGTTGTATAACCCCTAACCTGGTCTTTAATGCAGCGGTTCTCAACCTGTGGGTTGTGACCCCATTTGGGGTCGAACGACCATTTCACGGGGGTTGCCAAACAACGCAGTCCACCATTTTTTACCCCTTTTCCTTAGCTGTGCTACTCCCTTTTATTCTATTGGCTTTTGAAAGCCAATAGAATAGACTCTCTTGAATAGAGTCTAATTCTATTGGCTTTCAAAAGCCAATAGGAATTGTCCAGGCTGTCTCTGCCCTGCTGAGCCCGCCAAAAGTCCCATTCTGCAAACGGTGCTGCAAGTTGTCTGCAGCGAAGGCGAGCTGTCTGGAAGTTTCCACCCCTCCCTGCTGAGCAACTATTAAAAATGTAAGTAAAAGAGGGCCAGGGGTGGGAGGCCGGCAGGTGCAGGGAGGGTTGCTGGCACGCGTGGGGCCCGGTGGGTACCTTACCTCCCTTGGGCTGGGCCAGCTGGTGGCCCAGCTGGTGGTCGCCCTGCGCCGTCGCTGCCCCTTGCCAGCTACGCCTCAGCCGGCGCAGGGGGTAGCACCACGCATGCTCAGAGCTCCCAGGCAGGGAAAGTCCTCAACTTACGACCGGTTGGCTAGTCCTCGACTTATGACCGGTTGGGTAGTCCTCGACTTACGACTGGTTGGGAGTCGCGGTATTAAAAAGGTTGAGAACCACTGCTTTAATGTCTCCCATTTATGTAGCTATTGTCATTATAACTATAATTTACTGGGGTCTTCCTCTTCTCTTTCTTTCCATCTTTCCCAGTAATAGTGTTTCCTCCAGAGGGTTGGGTTTTCATATGCGTCCAAAATAGAAAAATACCGCTTGACATTTTTAGTATTAAAAGTATTTGATCTTTTTAATAGTTGATAAAATTCCTTCCTTCCCTCCTTCCTTCCTTCCTTCCTTCCTTCCTTCCTTCCTTCCTTCCTTCCTTCCTTCCTTCCTTTCTTTCTTCCTTCCTCCCTCTTTAGCCAGTCTGACTTTATTTGACAAGGGCTTGAAATAAACGTGTCCTTATAAATAAAATGTAGACATGCTGAAGTGTTATGGACCCTTAAACAATTTTATATTTAGCATTTTAAACACCGTATACATAATTTCTGGTCTACTAAGTAAGAAGGATAGCAATTGCACAAGCCAATTTTCAGAGTTTCCCAGAAAGTTACCTAGAAAAGCATATATATTATTTCATTGATAAATCCACATGCCATAATGGTGAATTATTCCATCACTTATATGGAATCCCTTGAAGGACGTATGTAAGATTAATGGCAGAGAAAGCATTAATGCCTAAATATTATATTATTCATTAGTTGAGTAACTGTGATATATTATTTCCTACCACATTTCAGACTGTTTTATGAAACATATCCCAAAATGCAACATGATGTGTCCAAACCTTTACAGAAAGTACATTAGCTTTACTTGAATGCAAGACATAGTTCTTGCATATATTTCAAAAGTATAAATTAAGATTTACAAAATGTTCTTTGTCTTCATGCTATACCCTGGCTATATGAATAATGCAAAATAACAAAACTCTGAAAATAGATACATTTTCATGCTTTTTTCTGTCCTCATGTGTGAAAAAGAAATTAAAAAAATAACTCTTCATCAGACTTTCAGAATGTGTGTATATATTTGTTTTCAAAAGCAATCAGATAGAAACAAAGTACATTGTTCAGGATAAAACACCCTGCCCACCCTCTTAGAAATAAGTCCCACTGAATGAAACATATATTAGTATGTAGCATTAGGTATGTTTGCCACTCAATTTACCGATATAAAAAGAATGAGATAAAATGTCCACATTCAAAGCAGAATCAGCAATAGGTTGGTTAGTTCTAATTCTAATTTAAAATTAACTAAGAACTTATTTTCTTACCACCACAGGGAGAAAATACTAGATTCCCAATATGATCCAAATTGGTGCCTATGTTTATAAGTTTGCAAATGAAACTATAGTATGAAACACAGATAGTTTACATGCTCATGGTCAGTCATGTGCAAAACAGAATGGAGACGAACAAATTAACTTCTCTAGTCTCACATATAAAACAGGGATAACTCTAATGTATGAGAACTTTCCTCCAACAATATAATATAGCATATCAGCTATTGTTCCTAACCAAATTTTAAACATGTGTTTTGTTTTGTTTTGTTTTGTTACAATAGATACAGTATGATGAAGAAAACTCATTCCTTATAAAACTGGCACTGAATTTTTGTCAGCTCTGGATTAAATCCAATGCTGGCAAACTGGACTCCAATATTTACAAATAAACACGCAGAAAAATCTGAAGAAAAGTTGAGTCCCTGCAAAAAAGATTTTAGATCAAATAATCATTTACTTTTTTAATCTTCATCGTCAATGACCATTTCTAGAGAAATTGAAGGAAACATATTTGTACTGAGATCAGTATGTGGGTGAAGATTTCTATGGAATTATATGGATTATTTGGAACTATATTGAAGCTAATATAAGTTTTTAAGAAAATATCATATGGTCTCCAGACATGTATTCTACTATCAAAAGCACATGAATGAGAAATGTGGATCACATCAAGCATAAACTCATCAATGTTGAATTTTGTCACATTCCATATTTTACAAATAATCATCTGATACTTTAATTGCTTTGTCTATGTAGATACTTCTGCTTGAACAGATCTATCTGGAGTAAAAGTTCTCAACAATAACAAAAAAGAATATATTCCTAAATGGAATATATATTCCATTACCCCCAACTTTAGGGGAAATGCATCATATGAGATTGTGAGACAGGTTCTTTTTCAGAGTGAAAAACCAAATGAGAAATATTGTTCTTGAAAAAATGCACATGAAGTCAGACTTATTGAAATGCTAACACTAATTTAAATTTCTCTATGTGTACTGTGTCCGGCATAACTTCTGCCAATATTTTTTATACAACTTACTGATTTTAATAGAACAAAATCATTATTGTTTTAATTCTGATATGTTTTGGTAAAAAGTATATGCTGAATTTCAAAAAATAACTTTTGTTTATATAGATTGACATAATTTTTCATATATAACTACAGTTGAAAATAAAATGCAGATGTGAACCTGTAGGTTCATTTAACACAAAATCAATGAACACCCTCTACAGTATAATAATCTTTTTATATAGACTGACAAGATTAATTATAAATAGATTATTTTTTCTAATTGCTTCTAATCTGTTCAACTGTATAGATGGGAACTATCTTAGACATAATATATAATATAAAAGACCTGGATTAGGCAAATGTTGTTTCATGTGTTAAAGATATCATCGCAGAATATAAGCTGTTCCAAGTAAAGCTACCTTTTGCAATTGACTGATGGTGATTTTGTCAATGCTGAAGATGTTCAGATGCTGCTCCAGATGCTTTGAGATTGCACCCAGGGCACCTACTACTATTGTAACTATCTTTGATTTCTTTGGCCATAGTTGTTGTACTTCTTTTTCCAGATCTTTCTGTTTTGTGATTTTTCTCCAGTTCCTTTTCTTCTATTCTGTTGTCTCTGGGTACTACCATGTCCACTAGCCAGATTTTTTTCATCTTTCTTATCAACACTTGTTAAGTCCGAGGTGTAATGTTATTATCTGCTTTGCCTGTTTTTTTTTTAAAAAAATGTACTGCTCATGTCCCTTTTCTATTCTTTATTTGGTCTCTCCAGTGTTCAGTAACCCTTCATGGTATACTAACTTCAGTGCATATTCTATTTCTTCACCTGTCTAATATACCTGCAACATTCAATGCCCACCTATTTTTTTTTAGTAAGCAGAGTTTGTCAACATTGCTGCATAGATATTCATTGTCATTGTTGTTCTGGTTTTCCTATCCAGGGCTTTTAATTCAACTTGAATCCATTCCTAATTCCAGTGTTGTATCCATTAATTGGAATTGCTCAGGTGTTAATTGCATTGATTGTATTTCTTCCATTGAATTTGAACTTTAAGATCTTCTTCATTCTCATGATGTATTCATTTCTAACCTTTTTCTTGACTTCAATTTAATTTTTCCCCCTTCTGTCAAATAAAACAATTTAATTCAATTTAAATCTTTAGAAGGACATCCAAGGCTTTGAAGGACAGAATGTGGCTTACTCCTGACACTCAGCTTGCAGCAAATCATCATTAGAGAGCTAGATAAATAAAAGCAGAGAGTGAGTGAAATCACTCTGTGAACAAACTACAAGTTAATCAAATATTTTCAAATAAAATTTGGATATTGTGCAGTTGATTCTTTCTATAAATACTGAATAATTGGTTTAGCTATTGTGGTAATAATATTTTATATAGTAATAAATGTTAACTTAAAATATTCAAGGAATTGGTGAGACTGTTTTTCATTATGGATCAGCTGTCTCATGTAGTTTAGTAAATATATCCTGTGTGTGTATCTCTATCTCTGTGTGTGTGTGTGTGTGTGTGTGTGTCATACTTCACCAACACAATTTACTTGTATGGAAAAATCTAGCTAGTAAAGGATATAACTTACTTAAATAAATAATTTCACAGACTTCTTGTTTCAGTTATGATATTGTTACACATCCTGTCATTTAAACAACTCCAATTGGTGGAGTCTAGAAAGAAAGCCTTCTCTGCCATTGCTCCTCCATGGAATATTCTTCCCCTGAAAGTGAGGCGGGCTCCCACTCTCCTGGCCTTCCCAAAGAGGTGTAGACATGGCTCTGCAGCCTTCTGTGGAAAGCCCAAAGAAGCACACAGTCATGGGGTTGGTTGTGCTATGAGAGACCTCCCTTTGCTTTTGTCTGCTAATTTTTAACAGGGTTTAATTATTATTGCCTCCTTAAAATGTTTATAATTTTTAAATTTTTAATTCTAATATTTTAATTTTTAATTACTGTTTTATATTTTGATATTTTATTGTACACCATCCAGAATGCCTCTTTGAGGGAGATAGGTTATTTCTGAAATGTGAAATATAAATAATAAATAAATAAATATTGTTGAAACTTCTCAAACAAGCATCTGTTTATGATCTAAGAGTAGAAAACCTTAGTTTTTTAAGGCAGAAATGTATTTTCTTCCACAGAAACAGCTGTTCTCTTAGTAACTGTAGACAAATATTCACCAATATTACTTGTTTTCATATACACAATAAATTACTCAAGTCTTGCTCAGCATAAAAGATAGTTAACATTCTTTTAATGTGTTGGAGATGTGGAAATAGTCTATTTATATAAGAAGTCTAGCTAGCTTGATTATCTGAAAATCAAATAATGCTACCAATATGCTACCAATATATCAGCTACCGCTGCTTCATAAATTCCAGGCTCTCTATACCATCTGTCCTGATAGGTAAGAAAACGTTCTTTTTATATTTCTCATCATGGCCTCTTTCTTAACTTGCAAGCACTGTACAGATCACTAGTTCTACCCAGTCAATGTTGTCCCTTAAAAAGTCATGTTTTGAGATTGTGACATTGCAACATTTGAGAGACAGAATATGAAGTTAGACTGAAAAATCAAAGGGCAAATCGAAAGAACAAGTAGAATACTGACAATTTGATAGCAATAGAAAAGGATTCTGCTGGCCTTCGGGGCCCTTACAGTTTTGTTCAACGTCTTAAACTGCTATTTCATATTTAAATTAGTTCTTTAATATGCATGCAAATTTACAAAGTAAAACAAATAACAAAGTCAGACCTACACCCTAAGGAACCTGCACTCTAAATTTGTATTCATTAAAGCAGGAGAGGGATAGGACAAATAAGAGAAATAAGACATATGTGTGCATGCACTAAAATGACTTTTAATTGGACAGCAGAATCATAGGGTCCCAAGTCAAACTTTAACATTCAGGCACTTGGTCTCATAGAAATAGACCTAAATTCAGGCCAAGTTCAAAGACAGAAAACGGTATTCTTCAACTGCCATTAGCTAGTTATAAGATTTTTGAGGCTAGAGAGACCTAGAGGTAGCAACCAGTGAAATATTAGAAGTTACCTTCCAGATATTTTGGATGTAAACTTCCATTATTTCCAGTTACTGTTTCCATGCATTGTATTATTCATTTGCAGTGCTTTATTCTTCTATTAAATATTAAATCCATGAGTATTTACCAACCATCAACTCACATACCATATACATCAAATTTTGTACATCTTGCTGTCCTCTGATGCATTTCCAGAATTCTCAGCAATGATCATGCTGATTGGTAATTCTGGGAGTTGAAGCTATACCTTGAATAGCAGAGATGCTGGGAAGGCCTGGCATCTAATAGCCATCTAAAAGGCCTGACATTCCTAATAAGCCTAAAGGGCTTTTAAAAATATTGCTTCTATTTCTTAAGCAGCTCAAAAGACAAAGACAACATTTATTAATGTGGTAAGAATTCTAGGCCACTTCTTAGGGCCTTCCACCATACATATCTAATTGGGACTTGCTAAGATTTTTCTAATTAGCTTGCTGTCAAAACATTCTCATCTCATAATTTTTGCTGAATACTTTTTATATAGCAAAACTATTTTGAAGTAGATAAATAAAAGTATATGCTATAAGTTCATGGAGAGCAACACAAACAATTTAAAAAAAAATAAAACAAAAAGGTCAAAGAAGAATAGGTCTGAGTTAAGTCCTGTTTGATTTTTAAAAAGTATTAAATTCAAGACCAACTTGGAATCTTAGTCTTAGATGTGCTTAGAAACTTCTTGGCTTCTTATATTTTTTGCAATATGACCTCCCATTGCGTCAGCATTAGTATGGCATGCTTTGTTACTTCATATTAAGTTCTACCAGTTTGATTTGTTTTTCATCCATAAAAACTGCAACTGATTTCCTTGCATTATTACAGCTCTATGAATGTACGGAATTACCTCACCAGCACTCAATTAGACTATATGAAATAATGATGTACAAGCTCTTAGGGAATACTTTATGGCATATTTATTCTGAGTTGGAAGATATTTTGGAATAATGCATTGCTGCTATCCTTTTAGAAATAGTTCTTTCATCTATATAACTTTCAAACAGTTATATAACTGTTTTCCTTAATTCACTGACACAAAGCAATAAGGGATTGCCATTCTCAATGTATGAAAAATTAAGGGGACCAACTTTTTTACAAAGAGAAGGAAGACACAAATAAATTGAAGAAAAAAAAGTGAGTCTAATGCATGCGTGTGTGCCATGTCGTGTTTCGGTAAGAAGTAAACAAAGCCACTTGCGTGCGGCACACTCTTGCACGTGGCACACTGTCTCAAAACAATTCTCCTATGCGGAATGCATGCGTCTCATAATCGCATCTCACTGCACTGTATCGAGCCTTGACGAATTGTCATGTCAAATACAAATATGTCACATCAAACGCAACGGATCGGATCGGCATCGATCAAATACGGAGATTTACAGATTAGTCTTCAAATATTGAAAAGGAGGACATGTAGAAGGACACTTTTCGAGAGAGGAAAGAACTTACAAAAGGAGGACTGTCCTCCCTAAAGGAGGACAGTTGGTGACCTTAGAAAAATGTATTAGGGCCTGATTATAAGATCTATGACATTACTGCCTATATTTTTTCTTAACAATTGATTCTATTAGGCCCCCAAAACAAAGAAAGGCACTGTTTAGATTACTTCTAAGTATTTTCCTTTATTGTTCCTCACCTATAGACAGAAATCTTGCCAAACTAAAATAACTACTTCATCATTAAATCTGAGAACTTCTAGGGAGGAGACATCTTGACTCTTTTTCTTCCAACCAAAGTATCTTCATGGTCTCTTGGTCTTCTGAAATGCATTTCCCTCCTGGGAATCCATATTACATTCCACCACAGATTCCTACTATTGAAAATGAGGAATGTATATGCTTCAGAAGTAATTTAAAGAAATTGCTTCAGATATTGTGCAAGCATAGCATCTCCTTGCTTTTCATTCTTCACTTCTTTTTTCAGCATTCTTCATGAGTCTGGAAAAAAATTGTGAATATTTTAAAGATATATTATGAGAAACCCATTAAATCAGCATATTTTTATTTATTTATTTATTTATTTGGCTTATGTAGAAGTCTGAAAAAAGCTGGACTGGTTTAGTGACTACAACAGAGTAATTGCCAGCTTCAGCATATTTTTCTAAATTGTGTTTTAAATGTGAACACAATCCAGTTAAAAACATACCACCAGCACATTTGCTTTTGTGCAACTCCCATTCTAATGGCTTAGGGAAAATATCTTACTGGATAATACTTGAGAGTGAACAGTGTTGTTTTTCATTAAAAGGCAACAAAATATACAAAACAGAATCTTTATTGCTGAATTTTTTCAAGAATCTACAATATTTTATGGGCATGGGTTTTTTTTAGGAGTTGGAAAAGAATTTTGAATGGGTTTCAGTTTTGTTGCTTATTTTAGAATTTAAGAGTTCTGTGTGCTTGTGTTTCCCAATTCCAAATGGCAAAAACCATTGTATCAAGTTTGGGCCAGTGTGATTTAAGGAAGCTATTAACCCAAATCCCCACCCCATTCCTTCAAAAAAAGTAGTTTGGGAACCAAGAGCTTCATTTTTATTACAAATAGTGCTTTATAGAATAAACCAGTGTTTCTCAACCTTGACAATTTTAAGGCATGTGGACTTCAACTCCCAGAATTCCACAGCCAGCAATGCTGGCTGTGGAATTCTGGGAGTTGAAGTCCACATGCCTTAAAATTGTCAAGGTTGAGAAACACTGGAATAAACACACTTCTGTCTTCTGAAAAAAAGGAAACTATGGCTGGGAAGAAAGCTGATTCAGGTGAGACCCAGTTTCAAGTCCACTTATCCTTAGCCTCTGGAACTTACTTGGAGGCTGTTCCTTGTTGCAAATTACCACCCAAGGATTTTGCTATAGGAAAAATAGGAGCAGACAACAGTATACTGGTTTGAAGAATCTTGAAGAAAAGGCAAGATACAAATCTAAAAAATAAAAATGAATAAATGTATGTTAGTCCAGGTCCAAAGAACTTTTAAGCATATTATTTTCACCTCAGCCCTTTAGATAGGGAGCTATTTTATTTTTATTTTTATCTTATTTTAGTGCAGCTAGTATTCACAATTGCAATTGGCAGCAGTTCTCCATGATCTCAGAAAGAAAGAATACCCATTGCTGCCATTGTTCCTTTTTCAACTGACAATTCAAGGAACTGCATTTAGGGCCTTTTGCATGAAAAGCCTGCTGAGCTATGATCCCATAATTCAGAAAGAGGATAGGGTGCTTTGAGAGACTGGATTGTAAAGGTCACCTAGTGAGTTCATGGCAAAAGTGAGGTCCAAACCAGAGTTTATGAGTCACAATTCATTATCTGAGTTGCTATACTGTACTGGCTCCCAAGGTCAATACTATTTGAAAAAAAGTGGGATTTCACAGTGCTTGGCAGATTATACCTTTATTCTTCTAAATGGCATATAATTTCAGCTACTAGAAAATCTTTGTTGCTTTGTACCCTTGGGTTTCTGTATTGAAAGCTACCCTTGGTAAAAGCAATGATTTGCCCCCTATAGATTTGGAAATGTTGAATTATAAGGTGAATCAGGAGAAATGCTTTCTTAATTGCTCACTCTTTTCTTGATCATTCAACTCACTAAAAGAAACTATGAGTCAACCCTTGGACTCAGTCATGCAGTTTGGTAATTTCTGACTCAGGATATAATGCTTTTGTGGCGGTCTCTCTTTAGATAGCAATTTAAGATACAGCAAGACACATTTGACATGATATGAACCTGGACTTTCTTCTTTAACTACTGTATTCACACTACTTAGATCTTTAAAAATGTGGTTGTTAAAACTTGCTGAGAATAGGC